CTGGAATGTAAGATCTATGAATCAAGGTAAGCTTGACGTGGTCAAAAATGAGATGGCAAGACTGAACATCGATATCCTAGGAATCAGTGAACTAAAGTGGACAGGAATGGGCGAATTTAACTCAGAAGACCATTATATCTACTACTGTGGCCAGGAATCTCGTAGAAAAAATGGTGTGGCCTTTATAGTCAACAAGAGAGTGCAAAAGGCAGTACTGGGATACAATCTCAAAAATGACAGAATGATTTCTGTCCGATTCCAAGGCAAACCATTCAACATCACAGTAATCCAAGTCTATGCCCCAACCACTGATGCAGAAGAGGCTGAAGTGGACCGGTTCTATGAAGACCTACAACACCTCCTAGAACTAACACCAAAAAATGATGTCCTCATCATCATAGGGGACTGGAATGCTAAAGTAGGAAGTCAAAAGGTAACTGGAATAACAGACAAGTTTGGCCTTGGAAAGCAAAATGAAGCAGGGCAAAGGTTAACAGAGTTTTGTCAAGAGAACACACTGGTCATAGCGAACACCCTTTTCCAACAACCTAAGAGGCGACTCTACACATGGACATCACCAGATGGGCAACACCGAAATCAGATTGACTATATAATTTGCAGTCAAAGATGGAGAAGCTCTATCCAGTCAGTAAAAACAAGACCTGGAGCTGACTGTGGTTCAGATCATGAGCTACTCATTGCAAAATTCAGACTTAAACTGAAGAAAATCGGGAAAACCATGAGGCCATTCAGGTTTGACCTAGATCACATCCCTGATGAATATACAGTAGAGGTGAAGAATAGATTCAAGGGTCTGGATTTGATAGATAGAGTGCCTGAAGAACTATGGACAGAGGTTCGTGACATCGTACAGGAGGCAGCAATCACCACCATCCCAAAGAAAAAGAAATGTAAGAAAGCAAAGTGGCTTTCTGATGAGGCTTTACAAATAGCAGAGGAAAGAAGGAAAGCGAAAGGCAAAGGCGAAAAGGAAAGATTTACCCAACTGAACGCAGATTTCCAGAGAACAGCAAGGAGAGATAAGGAGGCCTTCCTGAATGAACAGTGCAAAGTAATAGAAGAAAACAATAGAATGGGAAGGACTAGAGATCTCTTCAAGAAAATTGGAGAAATCAAGGGAGCGTTCCATGCAAAGCTGGCCATGATAAAGGACAAAAACGGTAGGGACCTAACAGAAGCAGAAGAGATTAGGAAAAGATGGCAAGAATACACAGAAGAACTATACAAGAAAGACCTCGATGTCCTTGACAACCACGACGGTATAATCACTGACCTCGAGCCAGACATCCTGGAATGTGAAGTTAAATGGGCCTTAGAAAGCATTGCTAACAACAAAGCTAGTGGAGGTGATGGTATTCCAGCTGAGCTATTCAAAGTCTTAGAAGATGATGCTGTTAAAGTGCTGCACTCCATTTGCCAGCAAATTTGGAAAACGCAACAGTGGCCACAGGATTGGAAAAGATCAGTATACATTCCAATCCCAAAGAAGGGCAATGCCAAGGAATGTTCAAACTATCGCACAATTGCACTCATATCACACGCTAGCAAGGTCATGCTCAAGATCCTACAAGCTAGGCTTCAACAGTACGTGGATAGAGAACTGCCAGAAGTACAAGCTGGGTTTCGAAGAGGTAGAGGAACTAGAGATCAAATTGCCAACATTCGCTGGATTATGGAGAAAGCAAGAGAGTACCAGAAAAACATCTACTTCTGCTTCATTGACTATGCTAAAGCCTTTGACTGTGTGGATCACAACAAACTATGGCAGGTCCTTAAAGAGATGGGAGTACCAGACCACCTCACATGTCTCTTGAGAAACCTGTATAAGGGCCAAGAAGCGACAGTTAGAACCGGATATGGAACAACTGATTGGTTCAGCATAGGAAAAGGAGTACGACAAGGATGTATATTGTCGCCTTGCTTATTTAATATATATGCAGAGTACATCATGCGAAATGCTGGCCTGGATGAATCACAAGCGGGAATTAAGATTGCTGGGGAAAAGATCAACAACCTCAGATATGCAGACGATACCACTCTAATGGCAGAAAGTGAAGAGGACCTAAAGAGCCTCTTGCTCAGGGTAAAAGAGGAGAGCGCAAAAGTGGGCTTGAAGCTCAACATCAAAAAAACTAAGATCATGGCATCCGGCCCCATCACTCCTTGGCAAATAGAAGGGGCAGTCGTGGAAGTAGTGACAGACTTCACGTTCCTGGGATCCCAGATCACCGCAGACTGTGACTGCAGCCATGAAATTAAAAGACGCCTGCTACTTGGGAGGAAAGCGATGGCGAACCTAAACAGCATGATAAAAAGTAGAGACATTACCCTGCCAACAAAAGTCCGCATGGTCAAAGCAATGGTATTCCCAGTAGTCATGTATGGCTGCGAGAGTTGGACTATAAGGAAGGCCGAGCGCCGAAGAATAGATTCTTTTGAACTATGGTGCTGGAGAAGACTCTTGAGAGTCCCTTGGACTGCAAGAAGATCAAATCAGTCAATCCTAAAAGAAATCAACCCTGACTGTTCCCTAGAAGGCCAGATAATGAAAATGAAGCTCAAATACTTTGGCCACCAAATGAGGAGCACTCACTGGAGAAGACCCTGATGCTGGGAAAGATTGAAGGTCAAAGAAGACGGGGACGGCAAAGGATGAGATGGTTAGACAGTGTCAGAGATGCAACAAACATGAAACTGAGCAAACTTCAGAGGACAGCGGAAGACAGGAGGGCCTGGCGGGATCTAGTCCATGGGGTCGCGAAGAGTCGGACTCGACTGTGCGACTGAACAACAACATGTTTTCTGCAATATGCTCCTCATATTCCCTTTTTGCCTGCCTGATCACAGACTTTCATTTTATTTGCCACAGCCTGTGTTCCCTTTTATCAACCTCACTGAGGGTTCGCGAAGAGACGGACTCGACTGTGCGACTGAACAACAACTAGGGATGGGCACTTTCCAGATTTTGCCCCAGACTGAACTGAACCAAACTGACCCCATTCCTGGACCAGTTCTCAAATCAAACTGTGGCCGGTTCATGAACTGGTTTGCCAACCTGTTTGGATACAGAAAAGACCCCTAGGGGCGTCCTGGGGTCCCAAATTCTCAATACCTATTTCCTGGTAAAATATTAGCTTTAGTAAATATGCAATTAATCCCCAGCCTTTATGTAGTTCACTGGTGGGGAAAATAGAATTAGATATAACAAAATTAGAAAAATAGAAAAAGAGGCAATCAGAAGCTATATGATTAATGTTAGGGCTGCTAGAGTGGGATTAGTATAGACCCTATTGGACCAGATTAGGAATAGTCAGCAGTTAATTATAAACGGGTTGTTTTCCATCAAATAACAGCAGCACATAGTAAGCTGGAACATCTGTGGTTCAAGCTGAGTGCAGCCGACGAAGATCACCAGGGTAGTAATGGCCGGGCAGGGAATTCCAGTGCTCTTGGGGAGGGGAAGGTATAGTGGTGGGACCAGGCGGAGATAGAAGGGAAGGGAGCAGAGAAATGGAGAAGCTCGGCCACTTTCCAGCCTGTGTCCCATCCCGAAGGTGGCAGACAGTGGGGCAAGGATTAAAAACCCCACTCCAACATTGGTGGTGTGCAACGCCAGGTCCATAAATAATAAGACCTCTGTCCTGTGGGACTTCCTGCTGGAGCAGGATGCGGACCTGGCGTGTGTGACCGAGACGTGGGTACGAGATGGGGAGACGGTTGCTCTCTCCCAGTTGGCTCCTCCTGGAGTCTTGATCCTTCACCAATCTCGGACTTCGGGGTGGGGGTGGGGAGTGGCTCTGTTCATTCGGGAGGCTTACTCCTTCAGGGCGCTCCCAGTGGCGAGGATTGCAGGCATTGAGTGTGCCGGCGTTGTGTGGGAAGCCGGGGAGAGTTAGGTTGTTTGCCTAGTGTACTGTCTGCCCAACGCACCGGCCGACAGCCTGCCATCTCTGGTGGAGGCTATATCGGGTTGGGCGTTGGAACACCCTAGGTTGTTAGTCACTCAGTTAATCAGTAGACTCTGAAGTAGATGGGACTCTTAGGGTGTAACAAGAGACTCTGATTGAAAGGAGGCCAAATTATGACCCAACCAACTGCATCACGTGGGGGAAGAAGGGCAGGTAAGCAGCCTACGGGCTACAGAGAGCTCTTACCTGGATTCAGAACATGGATGAATCTGGGAAGAATAAACAAAGCAATGCAAAGCTGGGGGCCACCTGGATATCCTAATCAGATATAAGGTCACAGAGAGTCAGAGTTCAGAGATCCAGACCCCACCACGGGGGGCCTTGAACGGGGGGGGGGGAGGATAATCTCTAAAAGCCTACTAAAAATGAACTAAGGTGAACCAAGACTCCACCTATAATTTAAGCACATTCTATTCTCATAACAAGCCGAGAGGTATAACTAGACCAAGTCCACTTCATGATTGAGACATTCCATTTTTTATAACTTTTATTTTTGCTTTTCATTAAACATTACATCTTTACAGATTACATATATTTTCAGACTCTTTCATTCCTCCATCCTCTTCATCCAACTATAAACCCTTTTCCATCTTTCACTTTGTACCATATTACTTTTCCCCTGTAGTTTTAAACTCAGATCATCCATTTGCGCAAGGTCCAACATCTTTAAAAATGATTGAGACATTCCAGACACTGCAACACAATAGTTTTTATTCAACGATACGCCACAATATTCGTGATCTGACATGGAGATATTCAGGTTAAGGCTGAAAACGGTTTTTAGTTGGACTGCTGAACTGGTTTACTATACAACAGCTGTCACCGTTCAAACTATTTTGTTAGCCAGATGCCAATCAGGACGGCTGAGAACTCATAGTAGCATACAGGAACATGTAGTGTCCTCTCTTGAAAGGTGTAATGAGAAATATCAGTATGCTTGATTTTGTGAGGGAAAAAATCATCTTACAAAACAGATTTAAGCTTCACTTCCCCAACTCCCCAGTAACGTACCAAGTGTGTGTGAGTGCTCCATCTCGCACTGCGCTTTATGGCTCCCACTACTGTATTGGTTTCACCTTGTATAATGTAGATATTCTTATCCACAATCCTGCCAGTCCTAAAATTGAGAAGCTGAATTAGTACCTATATTAACATACTGCATTTTAATTATTCTCTATCAGAAAATAAAATAAATTCCAGAACCACTTTTAGGATAACACAAATTTAAGGCCTATTTTAAAGCAAACAGCGGTTAACTGAATTACTCCGGCCCACTCAGTTTTATGTATGAGTTTCTCCAGCATTAGGTGTGTAGGTTGACAGGTCCTTGGGGGAAAATCGAAAACAAAATCTTCCTCGGAATCAAGTTACTCCTCTCAGATGTTTTCGGAAAAGAAGGTTCAATTCTTACCACAGAAGTGAAAATTCCAGTCAGTGTCTCAGCAGTCAGTGTGACAGCCAAGTGCGACAACCAAGAACCATTCAGACAGTCATAAAACAAAGGACAGGAACTGGGTTATCCCTTGTTCTGGGTGGGGTTGAACTCCCCCCCTAAAGATGCAGGTTCATAGCTGGGAGTGCTCCTGGACCTAGGGGTCCCATCACATAAACAGGTGGCAGTGGTGGCCTAGCGTGCCTTTCAGCAACTTCGTCTGGTGAGCCAGCCGCAGTAGAAAAGACCTTGCTACTGTGGTGCATGCCCCGATAACTTCTAGATTGGAGGATTGCTGCAATGTGTTCTACATGGAGCTGCCCCTGAAGACTGTCTGGAAGCCCCAGTTGGTACAGAAGTGTACTGGAGTGTACCATGCACACTGGCTTTCACTTTGCTTTCAGGCTCAAATTCAAGGTGCTGGCATTGACCTGTAAAGCCCTGTACAGCCTGGGAACAACATACCTCAAGGACTGTCTCCTCCCACATGAACCTACCTGTACACTCTGGTCTTCAGCTGCCCTCACCATCTGAAGACAGACAGGTGGCAACCCAAGAAAGGGCCTTCTCAGTCGTGGAACCAGAACTCTGGAACTCCTTCCCCAGGAATCCACCTGTCTCCCTCTATTGGTGTCTTTCACCAGTAGCAGGGGAAGACTTTTTGGTTTCATCAGGCATAGACCCAATAACAGTTACTGGCTCTCTTACTAGTGTTGTTTATTTATGTGTTTTAATGGAATTATTTAGTAATTTTAACTGTGTTTTAATAGATTGAATGTTATAATGTTTATGCGCAAAGCTTTGTGGACACCAATCTATTGGAAAGGTGGCATAAAAATGTTTTAAAGAAAGAAAGAACAGGGCCTGTCTGTGATTTCCCAACCAAGAAGCAATGAGGACAGGTTGTGTCGAATCCCTGGACAAGCAACAAAGTTGGCATCGTCCCATCAACTACCTACCACAAGACCAAAAGTTTCGCCCTGACCTATTCCAGCCCAGGGAAGCCTGATCTCATCAGAGCTCGGAGGTTAAGCAGGGACAGCCCTGGCAAGGACTTAGAAGAGAATACCAGGGCTGGGACGCAGAGGCAGGCAATAGTAAGCCACTTCTCTGAAATGTCCAAACCCCACTAGGGGTGGCCAAAAGTCAACTGTGATGTCCAGGCATACACACACACATAAGATACTCCCCCCCCCCCCAAAAAAAAGACCAAAAGTTTCAAAGGCTGCAAACATAAAGTCTAGGTCTCTCAGGCTAAGAAGAAAACCCATTTCCTCAGTATCTCCCAGACAACACTTTAGGATCCATCCTCCCCTTATATTTAGACAACCTTCTTAGCCATGGGAACCCTCCTGGGGAGGGAAGGCAGCATGGCATGGTCTGACCTTGCCAGCTAAGCAGGGTTGGTACTTGGACGGGAGGCCACCAAGGAAGGCTCTGGCCCAACCACCTCTGCTTCTCCCTTGCCTCGAAAGCTTCCTGCTGGGGTTGTCACCGGTCAGCTGCGATCTGACCATACATGGGGTAGTAAATATGTTACTGATTCAGGGGGGGGGGCGTGCGTAGGCATTTGAGTTCTACTTCAAGTTCCAGTGATGATATAATTGTGGGGGTGGAGGGTTTTTAGAGAAGACCATGCCGCAGGTGAGGTGAAAGACCCTGGGGACCCTGAGACACTAGAGAGCTGCCGCCAGTCTGAGCAGGCGGTGCTGACCTTGAGGGACCCTGTGGTCCGATGGGGTATGAGGCAGCTTCTTGCCTGGAAGTGTGCGTGAAATGGTAATGATTTCACACAGAGAACCCCTCTACACTGAAGCAGCTCAGGTACCGCACCTGTGCCTTCAAGTCAGCACCCAGCCCACGAACACCAAGCCCGTCTACAGGGAGGACGAGGCCTGCTGTGCTCTCCCCCCCCCCCCACGAGAGACAGAGAGACAGAGAGAGAGACAGACAGACAGACACAACACGAGGCCAAAGAGACAGCCATGATGCGGCTCAGCCCTGCAGGACCACCTTGTCCAACACTCCCCGGAGCACAGGCTGAAGGCTCCGGCCTCTCCCAGTCGCCGCCACACGAGGCCGGCCTGCGGCAGAGAGAGGGCGGCCCCCTCCGGAGGAGGAGTGCCCCTCCCCTCCTCTCCTCTCCTCTCTCTCGGCTTCTGGGGGGGGGGAGGGAGGAGCGGGAGAGACCTCTCACCAGGGTGTTTCCTTCCCCCACCCCCCCCACACACA